TTTGCTCTGGCTGTAAAGGGTGAGTTCCGGGAGTCTGAGGCACCGCAGGTCGCAGGTCGCAGGTCGCAGGTCTCGGTGATAAAGGCTCCTGGTGCCACTCCTACCGGGGTCACAGACACAAGCCCTCCAGGGGCCTTGATGGCATCACCGGAGCTCACCATAGCAACTATGCCCTGCCAGGGAGCTATGTGTACAAGAGACCAGGAGATAATGGTGGGTGGGTCGGTCTGCAGTCCTAACAGGCGGCTGCCTCATCAGCTCCTGCTTTGACGGGAGGCCCCACGTGAAATTTCTGGTCTCCCTGGATTGGGGTTATCAGTCTCCAGAACTTGGAGAGCTTTCTTTTATCCAGTGTGTGATGGTCCAGGGATGAAGCCACAGTCCCTTTTGTGTGTGTGTGGGGGGGGGGGGAGAAAGATAAGTGATACCTACCTGTTCTAGTATTCGTTGTTGTTTAAATGATGAGCATTGAGTCTAGAGCCTCACCAAATGCTAGGCAGGGGCTCTACCACTGAGCCACGCCCCATCTCCTCACTGGGGGATTCTAGGCAGGGGCTCTACCACTGAGCCACGCCCCAGCCCCTCACTGGGGGATTCTAGGCAGGGGCTCTACCACTGAGCCACGCCCCAGCCCCTCACTGGGGGATTCTAGGCAGGGGCTCTACCACTGAGCCACGCCCCAGCCCCTCACTGGGGGATTCTAGGCAGGGGCTCCACCACTGAGCCACGCCCCAGCCCCTCACTGGGCATTTTAGACCAGTGCTCAATTACAGAGCCATCCTGCCCCCGGGCTTATTTTACTTTGATTGTTTATTTGGATTTATTTTACTTTATGTATATGAATGCTTTGCCTGCATGTGTGTGTACCATGTACATGCCTGTTGGATCCACTGGGGCTGGAGTTAAGGATAGTTGTGAGCTGCTACATGGATGCCAGGACTTATACCAAGGTCCTCTGCAAGAGTCCTTTTAACTTCTGATCCATCTCTCTAGCCCTGTGTTTGTTGGTTGGTTTGGTTTGGTTTTTGGAAACAGGTGTTCTCTGTGTGGCCTTGCTTGCCCTAGAACTTGCTTGGTAGCTCAAGTTGGCCTCGAACTCACAGAGATCCACCTGCCTCTGCCTTCCCAGTGCTGGGATTAAAGGTGTGAGCCACCACCACTAGGCCCTTTTTTTTTTTTTAATGTATTTATTTTGTGTGTGTTTGTGTGTGGGCATGTGCATACCATGGCATGCATATGAAGTTCAGAGGATAACTTGTAGGTCCAGGGATCGAACTCATCATCAGGGTTGCAAATACACTCCTTTACCAGCTAATCTATCTCACAGCCCCTGTTATTCTGAGAAAGGTCTCACTAAATTGCACAGGCTGATGATCACGGTCTTGAGATCCTCTGGCCTCTTGGCCTTCCTAGCACCTAGGCTTGCAAGCAATCCTCCGTGCCTGGCACCTTCTCTTCCTCAATGCTGGTTCTTGCAAAGGGCGTTGTCCTTGGGATGTACAGACTCTCCTATTCCTGGAAGGGAACTCACACGGAGGCTCCAGGACAGACAGCCTGGGACTCATCTCCTCCTGGTGGGACACTGCGCTGTGTTTGACCAGGGCTGCACTCAACGGTGGCTCAAGTTGCATTGATCCCTCCGAATAACTGAAGGATCGGCTTGTCACCACATGCTGTTTTCAGTGACAGCTACTGCCCCCCTACACACACACACACACACACACACACACACACACACACACACTGAGAACCAAGCCTGACCTCTCCACCCTCAGTTTGCTGCCACTTCTGGGAACTGTCACTTATACCCTAAGGGTACACTGATTTCTCCCCCTCACCAGGAAGAGGCATTCTTAGTTGCAATTAACCTTCCACCCTGTTTCTCTCCTCCTGGGTGGCCCATCAGACCCTACTAATTAGGGAGAATTAAGTGGTAGTCTTTTCCTGTCACTGAGAAGAGGAGGGGAGAGGGGATTGGTAAGTTAGCTCCATCCACCTCTGCCCTACAGCTAGCCAGAGTCTAGCCAGGATCCCACAGTGCCCCAGCCCAGACCCTTGCCTGTGTTAGGCTGGGGTAGTGAGTCCCCGCTGTCAACTCACTCTTAGTAATCTCCCATCTCCTGGAGGGTCAGGTAGGTGGTCCTTCCAACTGCCTGTCCATCATCCGTCCCACTGCAGAGTCCTGGGAACTCTGGGCAGAAACAAACTCAGCTTATCCTCGACACAAGACCGATATCTCACCTGCAAAGCAGTTCACATTAGCTAATTGTAAACTGTTTTTGTTAATTTTACTTACGTGTGTGTGTGTGTGTATCCCTGGGTGAATGCCATGTGTTGTGCTCGAGAGGGTGCTGAGTCCCCTGGAGATCGAGTTACTGGAAGCTGTGGGTCACCTAGCGTGGGAACTGGGACACAAACTGTCCAGCACCACTGTAGAGATGCCCATTTAGGCTTTGCTCTGTAGCCCAGGCTGGGTCAGGGCTCGCCATCCTCCTTCCTCTGCCTCCAGAGCGATGGTGTTGCGGGCATGTCCCACCCTATGTGCCTCTCTGTTATCTTTTTAAAATGTGCAAAGATTTTGGAGGCTTGTTTTTGTTTTATTTTATTTTTATTCGGTTATTTTGCATGTATGGATGTTGTGATCCAGATCCTGAGGCTGGAAGATGCATCTTTAATCTGGGCTTCACCTTCTGCTGGAGGCCTATAGAAGGACAATGGAAGAAGGGAATGTGGTCCACTCATTCCTCACCAGCTTCCCCTCACACTGTTAGTACATCCATCCCTTCATTAGGATCGGACCCTACTCCAGGATTCCAGCATATACAGACCAGCTGAGACACCCAGCCTCATGGGTCTGAACAACTGTCAGATTCTTGGACTTCCCATTCACAGCTAGCCATTGTTGGATTAGCTAGATTGTAGCCTGTAAGTCATTCCAATAAATTCCATATATACATATGGTCTTTTGTGGCACGTGTGTCTGTATACCACCTATGTGTAGCCCCAATGGAGGCCAGAAGAGGATATCAGAACTTGATGACCAGAACTGGAGTTACAGATTGCAGTGAGCCATCATGTAGGGACTGGGGATAGAACTCAGGTCCTCTGGAAGAGCAGCCAATGCTCTTAGCTGCTGAGCCATCACCAAACTTCTATTTTATTTTTTTAAATGTGTTTAATTGTGTGTGTGAGTGTGTGTGTCTGTGTGCATGTATGTGTGTCTGTGTGTGTGTCTGAGTGTCTGTGTATATGTGTGTTCTCACAGACTGTAGTTGCATAGAGCAAGTGTGGAAGTCAGAGATAATTTGTGGGAGTCAGCTCTCTCCTTCCACCATGTAGGTATCAGGGAGCAAACTCAGGTTGTCAGGTTTGGTGGCGAGTTCTTTCATGTACTGAGACATCTCACTGGCCCTTTATTTAGTTTTAATCTCTGGGTGTGTTACCTACCCGTGCACCACATTAAGTTGTAGAAGTCAAATGACAGCCCCTCCCTGGGGGATTCTAGGCAGATGCTCTACCACTGAGCCACGCCCTATCCCCTCACTGGGGGATTCTATGAAGGGTCTCTACCATTGAACTACACTTCCAGGCCTTCACTAGGGGATTCTGAACACCAGTTCTAGTACTGATCCATGTCCCTACCTTAGAGTCGCCCTCATCCTTAAGCAGAGCAGCTACAACTGCAGCCTAGTGAACAGGATGCTGTCACTGTGTAATCTGCAGTGACTCATGCTATACAGAGCAGTCACAGGCTCTATGCACCCACTATGCCGTTTTCTGTGAGGGGCCTGAGCTGGTACGGGTTGGTGCCTACAGAGCATCCCGAACAGGCTGTCCACGAGGCTGGATGGAGCTGGTCACTTTCCATAAGCAGGAGCCTGGATCCGAGGACCCTAACTCTGAATGCAGCTTCGTGGTCTCTGGGGGCAAGTATCAGGCTGGCCCTGGAGTTTGTTGGTTTCAGTGCTGGGCTTCTAGCTGCTGTGTTACTGTGCTGCTACAGCTACCTCCAGTCTGAGAGGCTGCTGGAACTGCTGCCCATGCAGAAACTCCAGCTGTGTTTTAAGGTTCATAGGCTTCCTTTCTGAGGACATCCTTGGCATTTATTTCACAGGGGGAGCTCACATCCGTGTCATGGCATGCATGTGGAAGTTAGGGGACTGCTTACGGGAACTGACTCTGACCTTCCACCACGTGGGCCTTGAACTTGTGTCTTCTGGCTTGGGGGGGGGCTTTAACCCCCTGAGTAGTCATCTCCACAGCTCTGTTTGTTTTTTAAAGGGGGGATGAGTTTTTTGTCTTTTAATTTATTTATTGTGCATCGGTGTTTTGCCTGCATGTATATAGGAGGGTGTCAGGTTTTGGAGTTATAGACAGCTGTGAGCTGTCATGTGAGAGCTGGGAATCGAACCCAGGTGCACTGGATAAGCAGACAGCATTCTTAACCTCTGAGCCAACTCTCCAGCCCCGACAGCTCTGGTTTTTATGCTGCTCTCTTTATAGGAAGTCTTTCCTGTGTGTGTGTGTGTGTGTGTGTGTGTGTGTGAGAGAGAGAGAGAGAGAGAGAGAGAGAGGAAGAGAGAGAGAGAGAGAGAGAGAGAGAGAGAGAGAGAGCAACTGGGAAGAGTCTGTTCTTTCCTCCCATCATGTGGGTCCTGATTACTCAAGTAATCAGCCTTGATAGCAAGCACCTTTATCTACTGAGCTGTTTTGTTCGCCCCTCTGACCACTTTAAAGTTCAGCTGTGCCTAGTGTAAGAGGCCAAACAGAAATATGATGACCTCAAATCAACAATGGTATACACTTTGAGCCAAAGAATTTGGGGGCAGCTTGCTACACAGCAGCATCTAACTGACACACATGGCTATTTCAGAGCAGGGATCAGGAGAAAGACAGTCAATGACTGTTAGTGTTTGTGATTCTTCAGTTTCAAATTACCAAAGATTTGAACTCTTGGGAGACAAATGAGAGTTTTGATTTATGTTTTAAAGACTTTATCCTTAAAAAAAAGAAGAAGAGTAGAAGAAAGTCAGAGAAGGGAGGTGGTGAGGCAGAGGGCAGGAGGGTGGCGGGACTCTCCTAAACTTCGAATCCTGGTGACCCTCCTTCCTTGACCATCCTTTCCCAACCCCAGTCCCTTCTCTGTCCTAGATTGGGGCCCCAGCCACCATCTTCTGCAGACCCTGGCCCAGTTCTCAGCTCAGGTCCTGGGCAGAAGGGAGGACAGAAGAAGGATGCAGGACATGGAGGCTTTGTCTTTGCCCTTGAGAGGCCCTCAAGTGGGCTCGTGGGTCCCCAAGCCTCTGGGGGCCCCAGGGAGGTAGGCGTTGAATGGGGTGGGAGCTTTGGAGGCAAAGTCCTGAAGTCCAAGGACCAGCAGGGACCAATTAAGTAGAAGGCTGGTGGTCAGAGTCCGGAGGCTAAGGCCTGTGGAAGGGAAGATAGGCCAATCAGAAAGTGCTACATTGCTTCCCGTGATAGATGAGTGAGCGGGTGGGCAGATGGATGCTGGATGAGTGGATGGATGGATGGATGGATGGATGGGTAGACAGGTGGGGGAATGGGTGGACGGTGGGTGGGTGGGCAGAGGGATGGATGGGTAGATGGAGGGATGGGGGAAGCATTTTTCCATCAAGCTTGGAAAACTCTCATTGCAGGGACCTACACAGGCACTGTTCTAGCCGGGTCCACTGCTGGAGTTTAACAAAGTTTGAGACTAAGGAAACTCACCCTCATTTTGACCCCGGCCCCTATAGGTAATGCCATTCTCCTTCTAAGTTCAGATTCATCCCCATTGATCCTGAAAAGCAAAAGAGAGGGCCAGTGAGCCTTCCCACCCTCAGATGCCCTGAGATCTCCCCTCTCCTTCTGTTACCCGGGGTCCTTCACCGGGATTAGGTGAGTCAAGTGTTTAAGGCGGTTCTGAGTCTGGCTTTAATCCCAGTACTTGGGACGCAGAGGCAGGTAAATTGCTGTGAGTTCAAGGCCAGCCTGGACTATAGAGCAAGTTCCAGAACAGCCAGAAGTGCATAGAGAGACTCTGTCTCAAGAAAAACAAAGAACAAAAAACATGGAGGAGGAGGTGGAGGAGGGAGAGGAGGGGTAGTGATTCTGGTCTTCTAAGAAAAAGCAGTCTTGAATTTGGCCGAGCCTAGAAGAACTAGAATGGGCCAGTGATATTATCGTCTGCTCCCTGAGTGCAGGCAGTCTATGAATTATTCACGAGCCAAGTCTAGAAGGTGTGTTGTTAGAGGTGTGGCCTGGCATAGGATAGGGAACTTACCTGGCGTCCTGACTGTCACTTGTGGCTGAGTCTCTGTGTAGCCTGTCACGGGCTGGCCCTCAGGGTTGAAAGATGCACCCTGCCCTAGGAAAGGGGATAGGGTGTATGGTGAGTGTTGGAGTGAAGAGCTTCACAAGACCTGTGGAGGGGGCTGAGGCTGAGGCTCAGAAGATCCTCAGAGTGGGCTGGGACACAGGTAGAGGCTCAGGAGGCCTTCAGAGAGAGAGTTTCAGTGAGATCCACCCCCAGGAGTCACAAGAATAGGGTTGGAGCTGGAAGAGGTGATAAATGCCTTTGACCCCAGCACTTGAGAGGCAGAGGGAGGTGAATCTCTGTGGATTCAAGACCAGTTTGGTCTATAGAGTGAGTTCTAGGCCAACTCAGACTCAGAAACAAAATACAAAGTTGTCAATGCTTATTATACAAACGAAGATGGCATTTGAGGTGCAGACAGAGCCCCAGGAGCCTAGAGAAGGGAGTTTGGGTTCAGATGGAATCATAGAAGCTCCAAGAGGTGACCAAGGGTACAAGATGAGCTTCAGGGACCCTCCAAAGACGTTGGAGTAGAGAGAGACTCGGGCACAGAAGGTCTGGTCCCACCTGTACGGTTGGACTGGTCAATCATGGGCTGCACAATCCGTCTCCGGGCATTAATAAACCTGGGAAGTGTCAGGGGCGAGGAGAAAAAGGTCAGAGAGCCACCAGAAGGGCCAGCAGACAGAGTCCACATCTGGGCTATGCAGGCCAAGGGTGGGAGAGGCGTTTCAGCACCACGGACAGCGCCCGGCCCAGCCACTTACCAGTTGTTCACCTGCAGGATGGTGAGCCCCGTGTCCTGGGCCAGCTGTTTCTTTTGCTCTTCTGAGGGGTACGGGTGCTGCAGCCACCAACAAGAGTCATTCCGCCTGCCTCACTGCTGTCTCCTCCCTAAAGTCTAGTCCTGGTCCCCCAGGTGGGAGGAGGGTAGGAGAGCAAGTCCCCTCCCCTGCTGAGGAGGCCAAGCCCAACCAAGTCTTGGGCAATTTGTTTTCCATCCCCACCTCTCATAGCAATGAGGGGCAACTGGGCAGGAGGGGACTCGCAGGCGGGGGTGGCGAAGAGCGCCGCCCACCGTGCTCTGCTCGAGGGGTCCCACAGAGTCCCTCCTCTCTCCCCCTTCCACTATATATTGCTCAGCTGTGCCTTCCACCCTTGGGTTTTATTCTGTAGCTCTGGCTGGCCTCACACTTGCCTCTTGGCTGAGGATGACCTTGCCTCCCAAGTGCTGGGGTTACAGGCGTGGCTCCCCACAGCCAGTGTGTGCAGCAACAGGTGGAATCCAAGGCTTCCTCGTGCTAGGCCAGCAACCCACCCAACTTAACTACAGCTCAAGTCCACCCCCCCCCTTTAAAAGTGCATTTATATTCTCATCCTGTGTGTGTGTGTGTATGTGTGCGTGTGTTTGTGTATGTGTATGTATGTATATGTATATATGTGTGTGTATGTGTGCCTGTGTGTATGTGTGTGCATGTGTGTGTATATATGTGTGTATGTATGTGTATATGTGTGCGTGTGTGTATGTGTGTATGTGTGCCTGTGTGTATGTGTGTATGTATGTGTACGTGTGCGTGTGTGCACCTGCATGTGGAGGTCGGAAGACAATTTGTGAGAGTCAGGTCCTCTCCTTTTACCAAATGGCTCCCAGGGATCAAACTTGGCCTTTGCAATATCTTTACCCACAGAGACATCTCATCAGACATGCTCTTTTGAACAGAGAGGCTTCCTCTCTGTTGACTTCAGACTCGGAATCCTCCTGCCTCAGCCTCCCGAGTGCTGGGATTGCAGGTTGAGCCACCATCTCTGGGTCTAAGTTTCCATTTCTCTCTGCCCTCTTCCTCTGCCCTAAGTCCATCCCCATCTCTACCTTCTTCTTCCTGCTGGGCCCTCCGCATATCTGTTTTTAGCCTCTCTCTGTTTATCAGTCTCGCTTCACTAGGCAGTGTGGTACAAGAATTAAGGCTAGACTGCTTGCATTTGAACCTGTGTCTGGCTGGGTGACTCAAGTAAGTCCCTTAACCTCTCTGGACCTTGTTGTCACAATGCATTTAGCAACAGAGCATTCTCTACAGAGTATCCTGGGGTGGGTGAATGATTGATGGATGGTGTGGGGGACCCTGGTGGAGCTCATCTCTGGGTGGCTCTTGGTTGGGGCTTGGCCTCCGGGGCAGTGACCTCCCTCCCCCTGTGCCCACCTCCACCCAGTCTGAAGGCTCTTACCGAGAGATGCTGGAACAGCCAGGCCCTCATGATGTTGGTGGCCACTTTGGGGAAGATCCCCCTCTTCTTGTTCCGACGGCGCTCCAGGTCCAGATCCTCGTCCTCGCCTGCAGAACTGGGAGAGGCCACGCTTGTGTCCAGCCCATCTCCTGGGGAGGGGGAGGACATGCCCAATTGGTGGTGGTAAGCCACAGAGGACTGCAGTATCCTCACGCTGCAGCCCTTCCCCCAGAAGTCCCACGGGAAACTTAATCCTCAGAGCAACTCCCATGCCTCCTGTGTCCCTCCTAAGTTGCTCACCTTGGTCACTTGAGTTATCCCCGCTCTGGGAGGCCAGGCCTCCACTGGATGGACCCGGGGTCCCCAAATGTACAGACCCACTGTCCTCATGGTCTCTGATCCATGTATTGTTCTAGGAAACAAGAATCGGGTGTCAGTGAGAAGGCTCGGGGAGTCCAGGCTCTGTAGGCAAAACCTGCCCCTGCCTTCTTGGCTGTGTGATCTTGGGCTAGTCACTCTGCCTCTCTGTGCCATTTTCAACTGGAAAAGGGAAGACAACAGCAGCTTTCCCCTTGGTGTGAGAAGTGTGCAATGGGCTCGTTTGTGTGATCGCCAGGCAGGCTGGCACAGTCTACAGCACACCCAATTCTGACACCCTAGGGTCCAGAGTTGCTTCGGATTTCAGGCCTCGCTCTGGAAGCCATGGATGGTGATGCTCCTGAACCCCAGTGTTCAGACGGCTGAGGTAGGACTGCCATGAATCCCAAGGCAGCCTGGGTTACAGGGTAGGACCCTGCCTCAAGAGAGCAATGAATGAAGTAAAAAAAGAACAAACAAAACCTTTTTCATCCTGAGCCAGGATTCTGGGGCAGTGGGTTTCCTACTTACTCCCAGCAGGGGCCAGGGCTCTGCCTCAGCACCAAACCCATTAACATGCCCCGGCAAACCACGTGAATATTAATTAAGTGGGAAAAATTCAGGCTATAAATAGCCTCTCATTAGTTCAGGTTGGATTTTCTTTTTCCAGTGAATTTGCACTGAACTTACAAAAAAAAAAAAAAAATTGCTTCCAGATTTGTTATGTTTTGTTCAGTGCTGGGAACAGATCCCAAGGTATCCTCTATGTTAGGCAGGGACTCTAACACTGAGTCACACCCCCAGCCCCTCACTGGGGGATTCTAGGCAGGGGCTCCACCACTGAGCCACGCCCCCAGCCCCTCACTGGGGGATTCTAGGCAGGGAATCCACCACTGAGCCATGCCCTCAGCCCCTCACTGGGGGATTCTAGGCAGGGGCTCCACCACTGAGCCACACCCCAGCCCCTCACTGGGGGATTCTAGGCAGGGGCTCCACCACTGAGCCACGGCCCCAGCCACTATGCCAGACTTTGTCGTGAAACTTCGATGTATCATAATCTCCCTGAATGTGAGTGCTGTTCCTCCAGACTCCACAGATGGCAGCATTGCCCCCAGGGAGGGTGTCACTGTGTGTGGGTGTTCTGAGGTGCTGCAGAAACAAAGAGCAGTGTTGGGGGTGGCTGTGGTGGCCAGCATCAGGCTCATGTGGCTGTCACTGATGTCGATGATTACAAGTCTGTTTTTTTTTTCTAGTTTGTGACACAATCTGAGGGTTTGTCTATTCTTTAAAACACATTTATGTATTTAGTGTATATGGGCATGTGTGTGCCACAGCATGTGTGTGGAGGTCAAAGGACAACTGGAGGTCAGAGGACAACCGGAAGGGGTTCTCCCCCCAACTCCCCGCCCTTCCACACGATATGGGACAGGGGGCTCAAACTCAGGCTCAGCATCAAGAGCCATTATTCACTGAGTCACCTCACCTGTCACTGGATTGTCTTCCAGGCTATGGGTGTGGCTAGTGTGGATATGTGCCTCCGTGTGCATGTATGTGACTCTGTGGGGACATCTGTGTGTGTGTGTGACAGTCATTCTTTGAGCATAATGGAGGCTCTGTGAAGTCTGAGCAGGGATCTCCCTGGCAATGATATCCAGTCCTTTCATGCAAATACCCCTGAGCACATTCATGTGTCGAGTCTGGGGCCTAAGGGGCTATGCGTGTGTGCACTTGTATGTGCATCTGCAGTGTTGAAGGTCTGGTGTCTTGCTCAAATTCTCTCCACCTTATGTACTGATGATGCAGGGTCTCTCACTGAACCAAGATCTCACCAATCTAGCTAGCCTAGCTTGCCAGCTTGCTCTGTGTACCTGTCTCTACCTTCCAAGTGCTGAGATTACAGTCAGGCTATATCAGACTCACCCAGCATTTACCTGGGTGCTGTGGATCCAAAAGCAAGTCCTTTGGCTTACACGGTGAGTGCTTTACTTACCGAGCTGTCTTCTCCAGCTCCAACGGAGGGTTTGTGAGGCTCTCCTGTGTGGGAGTGTGTGGGTGTACCTCAGGCTCTGGATGTGTGTGCCAGTCTCTGGGTTGTACCATTACTGGATGTGTTGAGAACATCTGGGTGTGGCTGACACATGGCTTTTTCCAGTTGAGGTGACTTGGGATCCACAGGGCTACTATGTACCTAACTGTGGTGTGGTGTTCTGAGCTGATGCCACCCTGTTTATCTGTATTTCTAAGTCTACACAGGCGAATATGAGGCCATGTGGTTGGATGCCGGGCAACATGGCACACGTGCACATGCCTGCAGGCCCTGGTTGCTGTGTGTGCACAAGGACTTTTTGGTCAGTCTGTGTTTGTCTGGGCTTCATCAGAATTACATGTGTGGCACTGTGTGTGTGTGCGGTGGTTATCCTTAGGATGCCAACGCAGGAGTGATATATGGTCTGTGCTACTATCTCATGGTGGTGGCTTGTTGGAGGGCGCTCAACAGCTCTGTGGTCTGTGTTGCTGGGTCTTGACTGTGACTTGTCTCAGGACTCTGAGAGGCTGTAGGGTCTGTGCTACTGTCTCACAGGTGCGGCCTGTTTCCCTGGGTGGTGCTCATTCTATCTGTCCAGCGGGACTGCCTATACCTGACTTAAGCTGATTGCCCATGCAGGTGCCTGTGCTGCTGTGGTCCAGCTGTGTCTGAGCACTGATGCCGCCCGGGGATGTGAGTGCAATGCACACTCCACGGCGGGTGTGAAACATGCCTTCCTGCGGCGTCCATGCCCACCTGTGGGCCTGTTGATGCCCACCTGGTCTGGGAGACTGGGGCAGGAGGCGGCATAGTCCTCAAGGTCCTCCCTGCAGCCGCCATCCCGGTCCTCGATCACCAGGTCTATGGGCATCTTCCCCTTGAGGCAGGTGATGTATCGGTGACAGAAGTTGTCGCACAGGTCGTGGACCTGGGAGGGTAGCGGGGTACTGGGGGGGCCACCCGGGGAGCCAGGGCTGGGGCGAACAGGGTGAGGGAACACTCTGCTTCCACTCTGGCGGGGAGCAGGGAGAGGGGGGCTGGAGGGAGGAGGGGTAGGGCAGGTGCAAGTGAGACACCCTCACCTTCTCCAGCTCCAGCAGGTGGAAGCGGAGAACCTGGATGGCCTGGATCATCTGCAAACAGAGAGGAGGAAGAAAGGGCAGCAGCCAGGTGTGCAGGTGCATACCTGGGATTCCCATCCCCGCACCTGGAGGGGCTAAGGCAGGAGGGCCACCCACAAGGTGGTGGGTTCCCAGACTCCTAGACAGGAGCGTGAGACACTGTCTCAAAAAAAAAAAGAGAGAGACAAATATCCTTGATACAGAACAGCAAAGAGAATGGAGGATCAGGGCAGACGCAGGGAAGCCAACTGTGACAAGGGGGAAACGGAGTCGGGAAGAGTTTGACTGATGGCTGAGGTAGAAAGAGAAGCAGCGTCAGGCAGAGAGTCCATCGCAAGAGGAGCCGGCCCTCTGCTCTGGGTGCCACCTCCATCTTGTGAACTACGTTTCCCAGAGACCTTTGCCAAGGGATGAGGCCCACGGAAGCACTGGGGTGCAAAGAGAGTGTATTTCACTCTGTCTTTCTCTTCCTCCCTCCCTTTTCTCCCCTGCACTTTACAGATGTGTGTGTGGTGGGGTGGGGGGACCACTCGCCCTGGTTCCCTGGTTTATGGAGCTAGAGTTGCAGAGCCAGGATTCAAACTCTCACAGCACGGAGGTCTCAAACTGGGCCGGTGGCTTCCTGTCCTCACCCCTCAGCCAACCCCAGGAACACAGGTGGGAAAGGACAGGGGCTGACTATTGAGGGGACACGGGGAAGGCCTGAGCCTCACCAGGTTGTCCAGCTCCGGGTTGGAAGAGAAGAGCGGCCTCTCAGAGCGGATCTGGGAGGGAGAAGAGAGGCCAGGCAAGGCAGTCCGCCTCCCGCCCGCCCTTCCTGCTGCCTCCCCTGGTGCCTCGTTCTGGGGCTGCCCACCTGTTTAGCAAAGGCGGCAATGTCCTCATTGAAGGAATCCGAGGAGCAGACGTCACCGCCCGGGGATGAGCCCAGCGCAGCCGATGCCCCATCACGGGGCGAGCATGTGGCCAGTTCACACTTCTCGAAGACCAGGGCCAAGAGTGGGAAGAGGGGGTGTCTGGGGGGGGGACAGGAAAGTGGGCGCGCCTGAGGGGAAGTACGGAATGCGTGGGGGCAGACACGAGGAGAAAAACAGACCCTGAGAGCCACACAGCACACTGGGCAGCCCTGCCCCGTCCCCAGACACTCACCCATAGATGTCATCCTTTTCTCTCTTCAAGCTGTCGCTGTCCAAGCCTGGGACTTGGGGCTGGGGAGGTCGGTGTGGGCCATAGGGCCCAGGGGCTCGAGGTACGGAAGGTGCTGCCTCTGAGAAACTGGCCAGGGTGTGCTCCGCAATGCCGGGGTAGTGGCGCAGCTCATCATACTATGCGAGAAGGGACAAACCAGGAGGTCAGCATCCCCAGGGTTCAATCTCTTTACCCCAAACCACACAATGTGCACTCCAGTCTCCAAGGGTCCCAGCCTCTGTCCTCTTAAGTCCCCAGTGTCTCACAGAACTGTCCAAGTGGGCATGAGAGTCCACTCAGGACCCAAAAGAAGATGCCCAGGTCAGGGGATGTCTAGGAAGGAGCTGGCAACCCAGGGAGAGAAAACGGCAAAGAGGTGTAGAGACAGAGATGTAGGGGGAGCCAGCCAGGGAGGGAGAGCAGGGCATCTCCCACTGAGCCACGCCCCAGCCCCTCACTGGGGGATTCTAGGCAGGGGCTCCACCACTGAGCCACGCCCCAGCCCCTCATTGGGGGATTCTAGGCAGGACTCTACCACTGAGCCACGCCCCAGCCCCTCACTGGGGGATTCTAGGCAGGGGCTCTACCACTGAGCCACGCCCCAGCCCCTCACTGGGGGATTCTAGGCAGGGGCTCTACCACTGAGCCACACACCCAGCCCCTCACTGGGGGATTCTAGGCAGGGGCTCCACCACTGAGCCACACACCCAGCCCCTCACTGGGGGATTCTAGGCAGGGGCTCTACCACTGAGCCACACACCCAGCCCCTCACTGGGGGATTCTAGGCAGGGGCTCTACCACTGAACCATACTCCTAAGCCCTCACTGGGGGATTCTCGGCCAGTGTTCTCGCAGCCTTGTTTATGTTTGAGATAGAGTCTTACTTTGTAGCCTATGCTGTCCTGGAACTCAGAGCAATCCTCCTGCCTTAGCCTCTGGAGTGCTGAGATAACAGATGTGAGCCATCACACAGCTAACTACACACCTCAGAATGTCTTAGCAACTTACCACATCCAACATGTAGACCCACCATACCCATTGCACACACAGTTGGGCACACAGCCTATATACACACTCTTGGGACATACGTGGGCATGTATGCTATAGGCTATGTTCCCCACAACATGCAGGATTAGAGCACCACACACCCAAGTGCTGGAGATAACCCTATACACACAGACATAGACAGACAGACAGACCCTGGGGGCGGGACTGTGGAGAGCGATCAAGCCTAACACCAAGTAGGAATTGAATGATCGAGGGAATGAAAGACACTTGGCATAGTCTGACAGCAGTCAATAAATACATCTGGGGGGGGAGGGTAACTCCATTCCACCATGCAAACAGCTCCAACCAGAAATGAGTATGGGGGCCAGAATTCCGGGTCCCCTTGTCACAGAATCAGCACGGGGGCCAGCAAGACCTTTGATCTCCAGGTGGGAGATTGCCCTTAGCAGTGGAGAGACCCGGGCTTCAAGAGGCAAAGGGCTGGCTGGCACCAGGAGGCACAGGGGTCCTGTGTGCTCCAGCCAACCTGGGTGTACTGGGCCACCTGTGCGTGTGGCTGTCGCTCTTCTTTTGCTTACTGGCTAACTTCTCTAGCACCCTGAAGTGAATTCACCTGCTCCCTGTGCTCATCAAGAACACAGGAGATGGGATTCCTCACCTCCTGTCAAGTCTATCTCCCCCCCCCCAAGCCCTCCGGGCTCTCCCCACTCCAGGATCTAAGGACAGCCCCTTGTCTAGCAGCCTGGTAAGACGCCCACCCCTAGCCTCAGGGTGGGTCTGAGACAACGGAAGCCTGGGGGAAGCAGAAGGAGACAGGACGGAGTGGAGGGGGTAGGGGTGGGCAAGACCCAAGAGACAGAGTGAGGATGGGGGCAGTGAGGGGGAGAGAGAGCGAGCGTCAGGGAGGAATAGAGGGAGGGGCAGAGGGGACTCAGAGAGGGCAAAAAGGGACCTTTGGGGGCAGAGAGGAGCTGGGGGCAGGACGGGCGCGGCCACCTACCCTCCGGGCCATGGGCCGGCGCCGCCTGTCCCGGACTCGGGCGGTCACGGCCGGGGGCTCATCGCGGCCGGAGGTCCCCGCGGTCCCCGCCGGGTGCCAGGGTCTCCGAGCGGCCGAGACCCGCCGATCGCGGCCGAGGGCGGCGGCGGCTCCTCCGCTCGCGCGGGCCGGGCCTGTGTCACATCCGGAAGTTCACGCGGAGACGCTTAACCCGCTGTCCGCCGGAGCCGGCCTCCTCCGGAGCGTCCCCTCCCCTGACTCGCCCCTCCGTCTCCTTGGAGCTCCCTCCTCCCTCTCCTCCCCGCCCCCTCCCCCCTCCCCTCGCGGGCTCCAGGCCTCCCCCAGCCCACCTTGGCCCTGGCCTTTGTATGTCAGACTCGCGGGGTCCTGTGTCAGGCGCTTCCCCGGGCCCCCACCCTCCCTCTTTCCTCCCTGCTCCTCCTTGCTCTCCCCCTGCCTGGCCGCCAGGGGTCTGCAGTAGCGTTCTGCCCCCTCCTCTCTCTTGTCATCCTCAGGACCGGCTCCCCCGTCTAGCTGGTGAGACAGGATTAGAGGTGCAAGAGAGAACGAAACTTATATTTTAGTTTTCTTCTTGCTCTGGTTCTGTCCCTTGCCTCTCCTGGGGGGGGGACGACGATGAGGGTGTCTGTGTGCCCCCGAAGACGCAAAGAACTGGGTAATGGGTAGGACCCCCAAGCCTGGGGCAGCATGAATCGTGGGTCTGACCACTGATGAGCTGCTACCCAAGCTGCAGGGCAAGCTTTGGAGTGCAGTGGGGTTCCACTGGCAAAAGTGATCGTGCCAGGGGTGCGAGGCCGGAGAGGCAGGAGCATCGCGGGTTGGATGCAAGGCTGGTCATATAGTAAGACTCTGTCTCCAAAATAACAGAGGGAGAGAGGACAGGGGTCGAGGCGAGGGAGAGGAGCAGAGGGAAACGGAAAAGGAGACAGACTCTTGGGAACCAATCCCAGAGGGAGATGATCTGCCCAGAGAGTGGAGGTGGCTGAGAGCCTGCTCCCTCGCTGTTTGTGGTGTGAGCCCCGCTGGGCTGGCTGGAGGTTCATTTTATGACTCCCATAAACACCGCCTGGCACTCCTTCATCTTCTCTGCTGGAAATGAAACAAAAAGCCAGGGCAGGAGTGACAGCTGGGGTGGGCCTGAAGCATGAGGGATGGTGTGTGCGTGCGTGTGTGCGTGTGTGTGCGCACGTGTGCGTGTGTGCTGTGCATTTGTGTGAGTGTGTGTGCGTGTGTGCGCGCGTGTGCTGTGCGTTTGTGTGAGTGTGTGCGTGTGTGTTCGTACGTGTGTGCTGTGCATTTGGGTGAGTGTGCGCATGTGTGTGTTAGTGTGTGCTATGCGGGTGTGTGTGTGTGCGGGTGTGTGTGTGTGAGTGTGTGTGTGTGCTGTGATGGCTCAGATGAGATGGAGAAAGGACTGAGGAGGGAGGGCCAACAGGGCCAGGACTCTGGTTCTTCTCACACATACCCCCTCACAGCCCCCCCCACACCCCGTCCAGGGTTCAGCTTCTTAGCCTCCAGAGTCTGCTCCTCACTTTCCCGACTGCTCCTGTCACCCCACAGATCCTGATGAATGCCTTTGGAGTCCAGACCTTTCTCCAGCACGCCTTTCTCTGCCGGCAACAAGCCGGTGGGTGCTTCAGGTTTCAGGGGACCTTGCCCGAGTGTAGGGTCCCCCCTTCAGCTCTCCCCACTGTGGCCTTTAAGGCTGTGATGGGGAAGGGGTCTGGTCACACAGACCCACCCCTGACCTAGGTATTGTGGGTTGAAAATCAATTTAGATAGCTTTCAATGAAATGTGTAAATATATCCTGTCTGCTCTGCCTCCCCCCCCCCCACTACCACACATTTCCCTCCCCTCTAGCCTTGGTGGAGATTCATGAGGGCGGCCCAGTAGTCTGGGGCTACAGCCTTGATCAGGGTCTTGGTGGAATCATTTTTGCCTTGTTGGGAGCTGATTTTTGGGTGTGTGTGGGGGGTGGGAGATGAGTCTCATGTGACCCAGACTAATGTTGAACTCTACCCAGTGGTGTTCTACACAGGTGATTCATGATCCTCCTGCCTCAGACTCTTTGAGGCCACAGGCAGGTGACAACACACTCAACTTGATTCTTCTGTTCCCTATGCCCACCTCCATCTTTTGAAACAGGGTCTTAGGAAGCTCAAGCTGTCCTCAAAGCCATAATCCTCCTGCCTCAGCCTCCCAAGTGCTAGGACAACCAGCATGCATTGCTATGCCCGGTTCCAAAACTGGGTCTGATCCAAACCGCACTCAGTCTAAGGTGGAGGGAAGGAAGGGGTGGACAGAGACTGGCAGGGAGGGGTGGGTGACCGAAATGTGAGGGGATGTGTGCCCACAGAAACTCCAGAGCCGGCTGCTGTTACTCTGCGCACAGAAGAATCTAACAGCTCTGAGCAAAAAGCAGCGGCCAGCGCTCGTGGGCATAAATCTTTTTAATTAATGAAAGGGACTGGGTGTTGGGAAAAGAAAGAATGAGATAAATTGATGGGAGAGGCGGGCAGGTGCACAGAGAAGGCTCAGTCACTCCTGTCTGTCTGCCCAGTCTGTCTGGCACACATGCATAGATACGCAAACACACACACACGCACATGTATATGCACACTCTGGCCTGTCCTCCCCTGATCTCTGCCTCCCTAACAGGCTTGAGTCCCTTTCTCGGGGACAGGATGGGCTGTTGGCAGCCAGTGTTTCTTTCTGGCTGGTGTCTCCTCTGGGAGGGCGGTGTTTGGATAACTGTGGATGGAGCTTGGAATCTGTGCAGGCCTCTGCTTGTGTGACTGCTCGGGACTGACCCTGTGTGGCCCCACTCCACCCAGGGGAAAGTCCCACATTGCATCCATTGCCAGCCGCTGCCAGCACGGGGCTTCCCAAATCTTCCCAGCTCAGCCTCCCAGGCAGGACTCTCCCACCTGGGCTCAAACCATGGAGGCTGTGACGTCAACCACCAAGGCTCCTCAAGGGATCCCCGCCCCTGTCTCTGTCTCTATCTCCCCGAGTGCCTCTCCCCCTGTTACTCTGAGGTCTGCCATCTGCCTCTCTGATTCTTTCCACACCCCAGGACCTCCCGGCCTGGCCTGGTTGCAGCAGAAGGAACCATTATCTCAGGAGCCTCCTCGTTACAGGCCCGGCCATCCATCACAGCGGCAGCGACTGGGGTAGCTCCTTTGTCAACTGCAGCCTGCTGCCCTCCCCTCCCGCCCCACCAAGCAATAATTCCATCAGCCGTGGCTCCCAGTCCCTGACCCCGGGGAGGGGGGCAGGAGGCTGCGGCTGTCTGCCCCAGGCGCCCACACCCACCCTCTTCTCCACAACTCTGTTTCCCCTGGCCCCTTTAGTCCTCACTCTGCCAGCTGCGACCCCCTCCCCCGTCTCATGGCTCAGTGTCCTCCCTCCCTTCCTCTTCCTCCCTCTTCGCCCCTGTGGCCACCGAGCCCCCCCCCTCCACACACACACACCATCTCAGCCTCCCTGCTCTTTCTGGGTCTCATCACTCTGCCTCCCAGGTTCCTCCTCTTCTGACTCCATTACCATCTGTCGTCCTCCACCCCACCCACCCCCACAGAGGGCACAGAGGAGGGGGAGGGGGAGGGGGCCAGGACGACTCACACGTGCACGCGCGCACGCACTCATGCACAAACACACACACACACACTCATGCACACACACACACGCACACGCACATGCACGCACACACGAGGCACCTTGGGGATGATCCGAGGATTGACTGACTTGCCCTGAAGCCGAGGGCCCAATCCTGTTTCTCCTGCCTTCTCTGAAATCCTCCCTAGAGTAGCACTTCAGTCCTCAGGACAGGAGGAGACCCCTTGGGGAGGACCAGAAACTGGGGGCTGGGAGTTGCTGTGAGGATGTCTAGCCGTCAGAAAATGGTGCCTCTCCTTTCCCATACCCCAAGTTCTACGGGAAGGAGGACCGGAAGTCCTCCCAACTCTGCAAGGCAGCCATGACAGAGGCCTCCCACGAGCCCCACGAACCCCAGGGCAACTGCCATGGAGCATCTCCCCTGCCACTCCTCAGAGAGGTGGCATCACATGACATCTCAGTCCCCATTCTGCACACTCCCCAAGAGGGCTCCAGCAGGGTCAGGCCGAACAAAGTCCCAGCATGGAGAGGGGTGGGCATGATGTCCCTCCCCTAGCTGTAAGGCACCAACAACCCATGGCTTCTGGTAGACAGACAGAGATAGAGACAAAGAAGCAGAGACAGGCAGAGAAGAGAGACAGAGAGAAAAGACAGAGTCAGAGAGACAAACAGACAGACAGAGATAGACAAAGAAACAGAGAAAGACAGACAGGCAGAGAGAGAGAGACAAAGACAGACAGAGATAGACAGAGACAAAGAAACAGAGACAGGCAGAGAAGACAGAGAGCAAAGACAGTCAGAGAGACAGACACAGAGACGAAGATAGACAGAGAAAGACAGAGAGACAAACAGAGACAGAGAGAGACACAGAGACAGACAGAGACAACTTTCTTCAATAATAGGGCCCCTGAGAGGCCATCTGTGCTCCCATAGACAGGAAGCACTGAATGGTGGTTAAAAAAACACATGAATTTGGGAGAGAAGAGTGGTGGAATTGCACAGGACTAGGAGGAGGACTTGATCTTTTTTTTTTTTTTTTTTTTTTTTTTTTTTAACAAATACATTTTTGAGTTAGTTTCAGGACAGCCAGGGCTACACAGAGAAACCCTGTCTCAAAAAACAGAAAGAAAGAAGCAGGGCATTTGTGGCACACGCCTTCAATCCCAGAACTCAGGAGGCAGAGACAGGCTGATCTCTGAGTTCAAGGCCAGCCTGGTCTACAGAGCGAGTTCCAGGTCAGGCTGGAGAAACCCTGTCTCGAAAAATAAACCAAAAAAAGAAAGAAAGAAGGAAGAAAGAAAGAGAGAGAGAAAGGACGTAGTTGAGCATTGCTCCTTCATGGCCTGAGCTTCATTCCCTGCCTCCAGATTCCCACCCTGCCTCCCCTCAGCCATGGAGTGTGATCAGGAAGCCAAGCAAACCCTTTCCTCCTGGTGAGTTCACTCTGGTCAGTGTTTATCACAGAAGTAGAGTGCAAACTGGGGACAAAGGTGGGAGACTAAGCAATTGAGCAGAGGGAATTCCAAGCCGGCCTGGCATTCAGGCTATGCTGCGGCTATCACTGGCTGCTTTTAGATGGATATTCACAGCGACCTCGAGCAAAAAGCAGAGTAAGAGGACTTGAAAAGTGTGCAGTGCAGCCAGAAGAGGAGCATGTTGAACACCATGAACTGAAGAGGAGCATGTTGGACACCATGAGCTGGGTATAGAGGCAAACCCTTTTAATGCCGGAACAGTGGTTGGCACAGGTAGGCTGATCTGC